TTGCACATTTTCGTGTTCTTTAAAATTTCAAGTTCAAACGTTTATAAAAAAATGTCTATGTATTTTCTATTATTTTAAATTACCTACTTTATAAGAATAAGTAATTTATGATGAATCTTGTTTTACATTTTAAAGCGTTTTACCGAGATAAACATTGTTCACACACAATCCAAGACTATAGTCATACATTTCAAGTAGAAACAGATTATGAAGTTTCAGTGCTAAGTTACAAAGATTAGAGACTACATATATCTAACTAGAGCAATGATGTTTATGACCTTACAAACTCTAAAAAATATATATACCCGTAGGCCACGATTTTTAGATATTAGCAGTTAGCACGGGAGCAAAAAAAAAAAACTTAAACTACTGTAAAAGGATATTATTTTAATTATTTTTATTAACTGCTTCAGTTGAAACTAAAAAAAAAAAAAATTTTTATATGAAAATACAATTTTTTTAACTAAATTTTATTTAAAAAAATATTATTTAAAATTATAGTCACTTCAGTTCAAAACTATTTTTTCTTGTCCAACACTTATTTTTAAACATATTTCCTATCTTGCATAAGTCCAAAGGTATACAAAAGCTTAAAGCAACATACATTTTTACGTTTTACCTTCGCTATAATTGAAGTACGGGGGGGATACTCCCCTTTAAATCTAAGTACGGGGGCAATTGCACCCATGAAGTCGACGCCTATGCATGTATCTAGTAAATATCAAAGTATGTCTTGAAAACAATCAAATACGTACCACAGTTTTTCTCAACAAGTGTATCGCGACACACTAGTGCGTCGCCAAATAAGCAAAATATGTAGCAAAGTATATCAAATGACACAAAATGTACATTTTTGTCACGATTTACAAAAATTAATAAGTAAATTTAATATAACTTCTGTGATAATTAAAAAGAAGTTATCTGTATCATCGACACTTATCATTGTTTTTTATGTTGTAATTTTTCTTTTTTACTTTTAAGTTAACATTAATAATTAAAATTAAATATTAACCATTATTCTTTTTTTTTAATTATGTGTTGCAAAGAAATATTTTAATACCCAAGTAGTGTATTTTCATAACACAAAGGTTGAAAAACACTGTAGGGTTAGGCTAGGTGACGTGTATACCTACTATATTCATTCAAAATATGGTACCATACATTTTTAATAGATTAGGTAAATGCCAATTAATATAAACCTGTAGGTTACATAATTATACATTCACTGGAGTTTGTCACGCAAAAATCTTATTGTAAGGTACTTAAGTACCCACCTTCTGGACTTGTGGGCTACTTGCTGCCTACTATGCTTGGTTGGGCGCATACAAATTCTACTGATTGTGACCTTTTTAAACCTTTTTTAATATAAATTCCACCGGTAGGTACCTACTCATTTAACATCAAAAAAAAATGTAAATTCCACAGATTTTCTTTTTTTTTTTTTTTACCTTAAATAAAATTAATATTCCGAGAGCGGGCTTATAAGTAATTCCTCTTAACGTGTAGCTTTAAAACTATTATATATAGAATAATAAATTTAATATATGAATATAAATGCAATGATCTTTTTTATAGGTACATATTATTTTTCAATATAGGTAACTACCTGCTACGGCAATACATTTCATATTTGTCAACGCTTTATTAATCAACAAATTCCGTTCAAATAAAATTCATCAGTTTGAGCGTTGAATCGTCGTTTCACTTCAGCTTTAACTTTTTCATCAGAGTTGAATATTTTACCCTTGAGATGTTCTTTAAGCTTAGGAAACAAAATAAAAACTGCATGAGGCCAAATCTGGGCTATAGGGTAAACGTGGAATAACTTGAAATCCCAGCGATTCAATCATAGCTGGCTGCAATGAGGTCTTACGTTTTCGTTATTTGAAACAAAAGATGGGTTAAATTTAGTCTGATACGCTTAATCATTTTTTTTTTTTTTTTTTTTTTTGACTTTGTGATGTCTACACGACTATACATCGTATAGAATTCACACAATGCTACAAGTTTAAATAAATATAACGATCTCAATAACGATTAACTAGTGATTACTAACAAGTTAAAATTTAATATATAAAAAAATATCAATATAAGATTAGCAAAAAAACTATATTATAATAATCAATAATTAACATTACCTATGTAATTACCTAAAAGTCAAAATGTGCCTGTGTATGTAAATACATATTTTATTTAACACGTTCGTACAGCGATATGACATTTATCAGTTGTTGAGATGTTTAGATAATACAGTCAATAGTTGATGGACGTGATCTATAGGTAATTACTAAAAATAGTTGTAATCTGTGAATTTTGCCATCGGTGAAATCTACATATGCGCCCGTTTTTTAGATCCAAACTACGTAGGTACCATTAGAATTTAAATATTTTTAAAGTAAAAAAATAAAGTACCTAGATATCGGTGGGATTTACATATTTAAATTCATGGAATTTACTTTATCCACTTGGTTACCTACCTACCTATTTGCTACTATTATAACTTACCATCCGTAAAATGTCAGTGTAGAGTAATAACTAATAATAATTGTGCATCTATACGCGGTAAATCTAATAATAAAAATGGTGTATTAACCTATCAAGATAGGTACCTAATAGTTATTTCAAATATTACACAATTTGATTTACTTAATACTTACCAATAAAAATATATTTTAATATACAATATATTACCACAAAAAAGATTAATATTGTAATATATTCTGTGATATTACAATACACATTTTAATAAATCATAATTAGATACTCATCAGTCATTAGTTATTACTTATTAGTAAATTGAATTTTATAATACCTATGAATTTCGATCCAGATTAACATCATAGTGTTGATCTAATTCTATGTATCTAACATTTAATGGAATTCCATACAGTACAAATTCAAATAAATACATAATTATAAATTATAATCAAATAGGTAGGTATTATAAAAAAAAAACCAATACTTTACTTAATATATATATAGTACCTACCTACTAATAAAACATATTACGTAGGTACCTAATAATTAAGTTAAGCTAATCTCAACCAAACAGATAAATAAATATGTACTGACCAAGGACATGTCCAATAAAGCCGAAATATTTGATAATAAATTTTCAATTTTCCTTGGACCTCTTAAAAATAAAAACAAAACAATTATACTAAAGATGGAGTGAAACAACCCTATTACAACTAAGAATCAATTAGGTTGTAGTTTCATTTAATTATTTGAAATTAGTTATTGTAATAATTAGATAGACTACCTCTACTCATTAGATAATAATTTATTACTTATCATAATTACAAATTATTAACATAAATCACTAATATATGCTTCTTATGATGGTAAATAAAATTTAAGTAAGTAGGTACTTGCCCCGTACACTACCTACTATTATAGTTGCACATGCATATAGAAAATTAGACAGGTAAGATATCCATTTACATTATTTACAATAATTATATAAACGAAGCGTAATTTGATTACTCATATTATCATGTAATACACAACTGTCGAAACACAATTATATATAGTCATATAGGTGTTTAATATAATTTAATAAAATTAATTTAAATAGTATTATCTCAAGTAATTTATCTACTAAATAGGTACCTAGTAGTTATCATTACAAATACACTAATAGTATACGAGTATTGTAATCAGTCAGAAATATCTGTCAAGTACATACCTATTGTTTAAAAACAGCTATAGATAGAATACTCATAAAAATCTAATCCAATTAAAATAGTTTTTTTTTTTTTTTTTAAATAAATTTATGTTGTAAATAGGTAGGTACCTACCTAGAAAATAATACTTTACCAAAAATCTTATTATACATTATTTTTTTCGATTCATTTTAGGAAACTAGAAATTCATAATATTTAATTTATTGAATAATATTTACCAGGTTAAATACTTATATGAACCATCTGCATAAAATATTAACCTTTCAAAAATGTAAGTGTTTACAAACAATAACCGTGATTAGATATCATCATATTTTCATAAAAATAATAAACTTGGCTTTATTAAGTCTAGAATGAGACATAAAACATTTTTTTTAAGTATCTATGGTTTAAATTCATATTAGGTAATATTTATTGTTTTTATGAAACCATAAAAAAATACATCCATCATATTATTTTAATCATTAGAATATAAATTGATTAAATAATATTATTTACCTTTCATAATATGAAAAATATACTATACTTTTTTTTTAATTTCGATTATTTTCATAAATTTACCATTGATATGTAGAATTTTGATCTTTTAAGCCAAGATACATTAGGTAATTTTACAGATAAATACCTTAAATACTTGCAATAATTAAACATTAATTGAACTAATAAATAAGTAAATAATATAATCATTTGTGTAATAAAACATTTAAAAGAATTAAGAAAATCTGAAAACCAATACACATAATTTTTACTTAATGGCAATACATTATTATGTTCAAGTGTAAACTAATAGTTATCATATTGCAAATATAACTACTCATTTAATATGAAATAATATTCACAACATCAAATGAATGTCATCACACTATTATTTTTATTTTTTCTCACGCTATGACAATTTCAATAATATTATTCCTATGTATTGAGTACCTACTCAATCCAATGACAGAACATGCTGATTCTGCATATTGGATATCCCCACGGAATAACCAGCCATTAGATTAGTTCACAATGGTAGGGTATCACTTAGAGAAGTATTTTAGAACACATTTTTGTTGAATTATAGCATATTCTTTTACTAGACAAAGTATAGTTCACTTTAGTATTAGAATTAATTGACTTATTAAAATCTGTACTAGTATGTTGGCTGATTTATGATATTATTAAACTATTAACTACAATTAAAAATATTTATACGCATATCAAAAATATACTTGATGATGAATGATAAATAAAATTCATCTAAATTATAATAAATACAAATAATAATTAATACATTTAATGTATTATTTACAACATATTATACAAACATTGAATTTACAAAGCAACTTTATTCAAATATTGAGAATTTTCAATTTCTTCATATTCTGCTATTAATTTTAAAATATTTCCATTGGTTATATCAAAAGTTGCTTCATCCATGCCCTCTACCGTATAATGATGTAAAAATACTCTTTTGGTCAACAATTTACTATAATTCTTCATTGTGTTCATCCAATACTGCTTAATAACTGTATTGTTACACAATGTTGTTGTTGCTGTAGAGGCCGCCAATATTCCACTATCTGGCACAGTAATAGGAAGTAGATTGCATAGCCCAAACTAAAATAAAAAAGAACAATTTATTCAAAAAAAAAACTCAATTAATATTGAAATTTTTCATATTCACCTTGAACAGTGGAGAGTTCAGATTCGGTGTCACAGGAATAGAATGATCTCTTTGAAGAAAAGCAATGGTTGTATTGATGTTAGTTGGTCTTAAATTCCCCCGGAACATCATACAGATTGACAAATATTTGCCTAGTGTAGGATCAATTTTGATCATTTGATAATCACTGTCAAAGCTCATTACAGCTGATTGTGTACAAGATGATGAAATACTTCCGACACAGTTTGTGATGGGAGCATATGAAATTAATGGAAAATGCAATCGGGGCTGAGGTATTAGATCGCTTAACAACTTAGAAATATTACTTGTCATTGAACCCTCAAAACGGAGTGATGAAGTAATTCCTGATGTAACCTAATATTGTAATATTTAGTAATCAAGTCTCACGTACATCATTATAATACATACTAGTGCTACAATACTATTTATGTTTGTATAAGTAGGTGTAAGTACATCTAATTTAGAACCACATATATCATAGATTGACTTGTTATCAAAGAGTAAAGAACAATTGACTAAATCTAAGACATGATGAGTTGCTAAGGCAGTGTTATATGGTTCCACAATAATATTTGAAAACTGTAAAAATTTAATTAAGTGAGTAATAATGTTTACAAAACTATTTTGTTGTAAATGATAATGAAAACAAACCTCTGATGAAGAGCAAATGTTTAAGTCAATAATTGTTTTGTTGGGATATGTGTTTTTAATAGTTTCAATGATCCTTGAACCCATTCCAGAGCCAGTACCACCACTTATTGATCTAATTACAGCAATACCCTGTAATGAGTTACAATCTTCTGCTAAACGCGCCAGTTGATCCATAACTTTTGATGCAAGTATCTTGCCAACTCCATAAAAACCAACAGCATAGTTACTCGCTGCACTTTCTTTCCCAGATATCATATTCTCATCAGAAAACAACTTTTGGAAACGTTCACGTTTCAAAACATCTGAAAATTAACAATTTATTAGCAAGCAACTTTATTAAAACTGCACCAGAATTCTCTATGATTAATTACCAACCTATAACTGAAGGTTCAGTGTCTACAATCAAAGCCCTAGGTACATAGGAATTTTCTTGGGATAAAGAAAACATTGATGTAGAATTTGTAGTTAGTTCTCTAACTGTTCCATCTAGATTGATTCCATGTTCAAGACAAAACAATTCCCAGCATGCTAATCCTACTTGAACACCAGTTTGTCCAATATGAATCCATATGAACTCACCTTGTGATGGTGGTGGTGATGGAGGTGGTGGTGGAGGTGGTAAAGGCAGTTTTGGTTTAACTACTTTTGATTTCACACGTGTTTTTTTAGACTTCTTTTTTATATCTTTTTTCTAAAGGTTATTTTTTAATAAACACTATTAATATTTTTAAAAGTTATATTTTCTTACCTTTCCCATTTTATTTCCTTTTGTTCTCTAAAGTTGGAAAATTATTTTTATGCATTGAAAATGTTTATTATTATTTAAGTTATTGATATTTCCAACGTTACATGATATAAATAAATATTTGTTTGACTACTATTTATTTTTAATATTTAACTGACTTAATTTTATCTATCACCTACCAAATTAATTATATCAAATTATATAAACTATTTTATTTTACAATTTAACCATGTGTACAAATTTACACATTTTTTAATTCTTAATAATTGATTGATTTCTCTTCTCTGTATTCATATCACTGTTACACAATCAATTTTTAATATTTAAAAAAAAAGCAATGGTGTACTACTATTCATACTATTTTTGAAGATTAAATAACATAGAAAAAAAAAAATAATAATAATAATATTTCTATAAACAAACACAACAATGTTTTTAAATAAATAACATAAGTATAAATAATTTTATAAAAACAAAGATTTATTCAATTATAAATACTTACTCTTAATTTTAATCTAATATTACACAAAAAATAATATAATAATCTATACTTTAGGTAATGTTTTAAGTTCATGTACAAGCCATAGTGCAAGTGAAAGTAATGTAAGTGAACCTGACTGATGAGCAGCAGCTAAGGAAACCGGAACATAAGTAAGAAGTGTAGAAATTCCTAACCCCATCTAAAATAAGAAAATTTTAATTAACAGTTATAATAATATTTTTTCATAATTTTATAAATTTTAAATTAATTATTACTTGACACCATGAAAATACTGCTAAAGCAGTAGCAGCTGTCTTAGCTCTTGGCGGCAGCTTACTTTTACGAGACATAACATATAAAGCTGACAGAATTGAAACAGTACTTATTCCCTACAATATGACATCAAAATAACAAGTTAATTTTTTTTTTATATATATATATAAATATGTTATAATTTACCAATATTCTGTGGTCAAATTGCACTGTGGTAGGATTCTCTGTAAAGTTACTAAGTACGGGTTCTATTTGTAATATATCATCTGGTATCCATTTGTCACCCATTTTTGGAAAAGAATTGTAAACTAATCCAGCATCTAATCCAGCAACAAATGCACCTAAACGTTAAATGGATAGGATAATTAATATATAAATTTATTATTTTAGTTTAGAGATTTATTACAATCAGTGTATTGGGTAAATTTTTATATAAAATTGTATTAATAAAATACACTATTTATAAGCTTAAAATATATACATTTTACAATTATTTGATTATAAAGTAGTATAAATAATCTCTATTTAATATGCACACTCCAATTTAATAATAAATAAGTTTAAATTACTTATTTTACATACCAGACATAGCAGTTAAAAAAACTAATCCTTTAGCTGCCATTGCCAGTCCCACAAACTTTTTAGTAACAAATCCAGTTACTGTAACTGGTAGAAGGATACGTAATGAGTTTGTTAGAAGAAATGAATACAACACAAATGCTAAACCCAAATGGGAAGCCAATCTATACTGCGATACTCGTGGAACATCTGTAGGCTTGTCAAATCTATTTTCTAGACCAGATTTAACCATATACCATCCCATCAAACCCTAAAATAAAAGTAGAAATAAACAACAACTATATTTAGTTAATCAATAAAAAAAAATTAAAACCAGCTTATAAATATAGTAAATATAATTAAATGATTTTATAAATGACTTATTTTATTACAGGTTTATAACTTTAAATCAGCAATTATAAAATCACTTTTAATGGTTATATTTAAACACTAAGTACCTATGTTCTTGCAGAATAATATTATGTATTCTAATAACAACAATTTATACATGTTTATTGTTTAATCTTCTTATAGATTTGATTTATTTTTTATTGTTGTAATAGTTATATTAAAGTAATAATACTTAGATTATTATTTTTTATACATCAAAACAGTTTTAAATTAGTTGAACTACTATTTTTATCATACTTGTTATTAATGAATATGATGGACTACCAAATTTTAAGAACTATGTATAATGAAAAAATACAATATTTCATAATAGTTGTGAATCCTCGGGCTTATTGCAAATCTTAATGCATTAAATATGTAAACACGAGTTCAATAGCAAGCCATGACCAAATCATTGACTTAAGGTCTGGGAGAAGCAGAATAGGTACGTCACATATAAGGAAGCCCCTAGCACAGCATAGACAGAAATATTAGAGCTATTGAAGTACTTACATGCCACACGTCATCATCACAAGCACTTTTATACTTAAATTAAATTAATAAACAATTGTTTTAAAAGTATAATTGACTCAACAATCATTTCGAACTTATGAATGAAACAACAGAAACTAGGCACGCTACACTTGGGTTTATAAACAATGTATACATATAACTATATAAGTATATTTATATATTAATTTCGAGGGCTCATGCAATGCAAGTCCAACTGCAGCTGCTAATCTTTTCTCTAAAAATTGTTCTTTGGTTTTATACCATACACAAATCTCCACCTTCCTCATCACTAAAATTCTCCATTATTAACTACTCTCTTTTTAGTAATATTCAGTTCTTAATTGATGATGTAAGCAATTCTCAATCTTCACAATGACAAATCTGTAGGCCCCAATGAAAATACATGAAAATGTATTTATTTTTCAAAATATCACTTATTGCAGGGATTTTACTTGCAGCACTATTGATTTTATTACATATTTTTAAAAAAGGGTCTCTGATTCTTTATCATCTTTCAAAAGTATTTAAACAAATCATACTTAACTCTATCTGACATCTGCCCAACTTTCAATCACATCTTCAATGTAGAACAACATGAGTTTTATTCAGATTGTTCTACTTCTATACCCAATCTTGTAAAAATCATTACATAAGTTCTTCATTCATGCAAAATGACCAAGTTGATACAATTTATACTGACTTTTCTAAAGCATTTTATCAATTAAATTAATCCTTACAAATAAAAATTTTCAATTTTTTGGCATATGTGTTAAATAACCAACAGTTCTACATCATAAATAGATATATTTATGTGTTGGACCTTGATTTATCATTACAATGTTTATCCAGACATTAGGTGTTCCTCAAGATGCTTGGCTATCTTTTCCTATTTGTTTTATACATAAATTGTATTCCTTTAATGCTCCATCATGCCGAAATTCCTAATGTTTGTCGATAATATGAATCTTTATTTGCATAGCAACTTAATCTCCCACTGTTACCTTCTTCAAGAGAATCTGACAGATTGATTGCCTGGGGCATGTCATTTAAGATTTTCTTAAAAATTTCAAAATGCTCTATAATTACTTTCACTTGTTTACACTCTTCTGTGTCTTTTGATTATAAAAATAATAATACATCCATCACATACAACAATAATAATCAATAATCTTGATTTTATTTTAAAAATCCTTTTACCTATAAGGAATGTAGAAATATTATATGAGGTTTTCAAACTGCTAAGTCTTATATTTTACATATCTTGTAACTTCAAACATTATACATCGCTTAAAAACTTTATAACACACATTTGAATGATCTATCTTAAAATACGATTATTTTATAAGATTTTTCTACCACATATTATGTCTGCAAAATAGATGAAAAAATTCAAAGACTATTTCTTATTCTAAATTGTATATATATTTTTATAATAATCCTGTTATATATTAAATATTTAAAAAATTACAACATAGTTATTGGGTTTGTTCTTGAATTTTTGAACACAGTGTGAGCAACTATTTGAATAAGTTTCCAGTATACAACTAAGATTTTTAATGAAAAACTTCAATATTTTTGTTATTTTTTGCAATTTTAAATATAAGACTAAACTCAATAGTTTTAATATTATTATGATAAATACATTTAAATCTCAACTCTAATTGAAATTTAATAAAGTTAAATATTTATAGAATAATGTAATAATGTCATACTTGTCCTGCTAACAATACGGAACAAATCATAGAATGTATTTTAGTAGTGCGACTGAATTTCCGAGTTAACCAGAAGCCAGCCATAGGAATAAAAAATGCTGCACCTATGCATCGTCCCCAAGTCCTATGTGCATACTCCATCCACCATATCCATTTAAACTCTTCTATAGTCATAGAAGAATTTTTCCTAAAATAAATTTCACAGTTAATTTCTTTTCAAATAGTTTAGATGATTTCACTGACATTTTGAATTCAGGATATTGTTGATATTTATTAAATTCTTCCAACCACTGAGTCTGAGTAGTAGGCAGTTTTTCACCCAAAAGTTTCCAACTAACCATAGATAGTCCAGACTCTGTTAGCCTGGTGATTCCACCCAAAGCAACAGCTACAAAAACCATTCCACTGCAACCAAGAAACCAATAACCAACATATTTTGGATCGGTTTCTACTTTATGAACGTTACTAAATGATTTCTTCCACAAACTCAACTGTAATAGAATTAATCATGATAAAAGATTTAGTATATTCTCTAGTATAACAATATCACATTAATATAGTTCACAATTAAAATATTTTTGTAATACAACTCATACAATTATTAATAAAAAATAAAAATTTATCTTTATCCATCTCAAAGTTTATTAAGCTTTATAAAATAAATGAAATAGTTACCATAATAGTGTTTTACTTACATTTAAATTTGACGATATGGATGTTTTGTGAATGGATGGTTGGTGAGTAATAGATAGTTGTTTGGATTTCAATAGCAACGTCTACAGCATAGGTAATAAATGAAAATATTTCTTAAACTAAACACTATAAATTATAACAAATTTAACGTGGTAATATTACTTTGCCAATTGTAAAATTGGGACTCAACTTTGTGCCTATACCACATAAACATTTACTAAAACTTAACATACTTGAAATTGTATAATATAAAATTTAAAAATATTCTAATAAATTGCACTTTAATTAAATTAATAAAAACCGAGATTCAAATACTACTTTGTAATCGAATTTTAAAATATAGAATCAAAAAGTCAATAGAATTCAAATTTAAATTAAAGAACAGGATATTTG